TTTTTTTTTTTTCATTCGATATTTCAAATCAGCAGCCGATGATGATTGATGCAAATTCAAAATTGACAAAAATTTCCTCGACGTTCCTCGGGTGTGGGAAGGAAAATTATTTTCTTGCCTGTTGTTGTTAAAAGGTGACCGAAAGTGTTTATTTAAATCGTGATTTTTAGAAATGATGGTAGATTCCTGGCCAATGATGAGCTCGCCTGGTCCCATGCTGTGCATCGTTGGAACTTACTTGGCGTTCGTTTTGAAAGTTGGACCGAAAATGATGGAAAAGAGGCCGGCCTTTCAATTGAACAACCTGCTGATCCTCTACAACGCGCTTCAAGTCCTCTTCAGTATCTGGCTGACGCTTAAAGTAACATTCAACGAAAATAATTAATTGTTAGACGCCGGATTTTTGCACAGTTATGGAAAATTTGCAAGTGCAAAAACGTACCTAAAATCTATAAAAAAAATATCATGTAGCATATATTCAAAACACTATAATATATAGTAAATTTCTAAAATATTTATCTTCTAACATATAATCGGTGAAACAATTTTCTTCTTGATTTCCATTTAAATTTAATTGTCTTTGAGATATAATACTCCATAAATATCCGCTGTCTACTGACAATAATTCCTTCGAATTATCTTGATTTTTAATTTCAAACGTTTCAGTAATTATTCCTCGTTTCAACTTTTATTTAACAGTCCTTCGAGCCGGGTGTCGCGCCCCTCATGTTCTCGCCTAAATGCAACAACGCAAATCGATCACCCACAGATTTACGAATTCAAGCTACGGTGAGTTAACTCTGAAAAACTGGATACGTAGAAATCATAATGCCTGACCTTTTAATTTTATCATGTTATCACTATCAAGTTTTACATGAAATAGGTGACCAAAGCTGCCTGGTGGTACTTCGTTGCGAAACTAGTCGAACTTCTTGACACGGTAAGTACAGTATAATTGTATAAACCGATTCTAGATCTATTTAAGAAAATTTAAAGAATGCATATGTTATACGCAAAATATATAAAATATCTGAAGCAAAGTATCGTAATATAAACTACGATTTATGGAAAGTTATGGACTTTGCAAATGCAAACGTTGCACTTGATGTGCAAGAATATATGAAGATTTCTAACTAATATTCGAAAATTTCTAACATTTAATAGGTAAAGTTTTATCGATTCTAACGATTCGTATGTAGTGGATGAAACAAGCTTTCACTTGAGTTATGTTTCTTTGATCTACGGTTCGTAAAATTTCGCAGTCTACAATCTAGTTCTAACAGAGTGTAAAATTTAATACAGTAGAATTCTACTTATCCTTAGCCAAAGAATAATTCATGGTTCATGATATTGCTTGGTACTTATTTATCGTTTAGACAACGTTTTCAATTAGCAAGAATTCATTTAACGCGTTGATTGCCACACGAAATTCACATGCTTTGCACTTAAATGGAATATTTAACTTTGAAATAGGAAACATTATGTTACAATGTGCCAACTGTAACAAATGCGCGTTTTTCATTTTTGTGCTATTACAATATTGCTGTTGTTACAGTATTAGAGTATTACTGTATTTGTGTTGTTTAAAATTATTTTTTTCAATGTAATTGACTCAAAATACATATTCATAGAAATAGAAACGCCGGTCACCGTAGCAGTATTAATTCAACGTATTAATATCGACGATGACTTCATTCTAACAAATGGAATCAACCTATTAGGGACTTTAAATTTCATAAAATTAATAAAATAATAGGAATCTCTTTTCCAATATTGAAAGTCAGAATTTAGTAAGAATTAGAAATCGTGTTAACACAATGTTTCTCAGCTCTTTTCCTTCGAAGGTATTCTTCGTTCTACGAAAGAAGCAGAACCAAGTGACTTTCCTGCACGTGTACCACCACACGATAACGTCGATATTCTCGTGGTGCTACCTGAAATTTCTTCCCGGCGAGCAAGGTGCTCTGATCGGTTTTTTGAATACCTTCGTACACATCGTCATGTACTCGTATTATCTGATAGCAGCTCTTGGCCCTGAGTACAAGAAATACTTGTGGTGGAAGAAGTACATGACCTGGATCCAGTTGGTAAATATTTTCTCCAAACGACGATACGTTCACGATACTTTCAAACATCCGTGTTAACCACGTTCCCTTTGCCGTGTCAGGTTCAGTTCTTCGTGATGCTCGGCTACCAATTGATGATTCTCGCGATGGACTGCAAAGTACCAAAGGCTCTCACGTATTTCTTTATAACAAACACGATAATCTTCATTTACTTGTTCGGTGACTTTTATCAGAAAGCCTACAAAAAGAAACAAATTTAATGAGTGATGTTACGTCTCTGTCGATTGGGATCGCGATTGGGCAAATATCAGAGGAAATTTGATTTAATAGTAAAAATAAAGAACGAGTGAGCCGAATAAAGGAATTTGAAAGATGATGACAGAAAAACTGACTTTCAACTCTCAGTCAAAATGGAAATCGAGTTCCAGTTTCGAATACCAGGTCGCAATTAAGAAAGAAAAAGAAAAAAATGGAAAATAGAAAAGATGTGTTCAGGCAATAAAGGAATAGAAATAATGATTTAAAAAAAAATCGAACGAAGCATCTCTAATTAGAAACTTTCAAATTTCACCTGACTTAAATATGAGAATAAAAAAGTTAAGAAATATAGGAAATAGAAGAGAAACTCATTACGCTAAGCAAGCAAAAGAAATAAAAGAAACAAAAAAATAGAATAAAGATCGTATAATGGATGAAGACAGCGACAACAGAAGAAGACACCAACACGTAAAAAGTTCTAATTGCGAATGGAACTTGACTTTCGAATTGCGTTCGAGTCAGACGATCTCGACAAATTCAACTTGAGAGCCCAACAAATAACGGACTCTTTCCGAGATCGAGGTCATTAGGTCCAATAGGTGTCCGACATACAAGCAAAGAAATTCATCGAAGTCTGGAGAAAGGACAACGAAGTCTTGACCAAACGCAAATCGCCGTGGGCGATCCTCCATTAAACGAATTGTGCTATGACCTAAAAGAAAATCGAACGGACTATCACATGTATACACAGGAGAATGGTAATTACTTTTTCTTTGGCAACCGAGATCTCATCTCTTCCTTTATTTTTAACCGGCTACTTGACTCTTCGACGAATTTCTATCAGGAAGAACTCGTTACACCATCGTCACTTGTTTCTTCTTTTCTTTTCCCTTTCTGAAATTTAATGATTTTTTTTAGTCAATTTTTAAACGAAATGATTTCTGTTTATTCCCGGCATCGTAAGTCCGCAACCATAAGATTTGATTTTCATTGTTCTGGAGTAGTAACTCCGTGAAGAATTCTTTTCTTTTTTGATAAAAGAATATGCATTCTGTGAAAGAATTTCGTAAATAAGATCTGAATCAATCATGTAGGCATACTTCCGCTAGAAACTTTGGAATGTGTGACAGTTTCAAAAAAAAAAAAAAAAAAATGAATTCAATTAAATACAAATAGATATTTGATCTACCATAATTTGTAAATTATTAACAATTTTTAAAAAATACTTCCTAAAATATTAATAATGATATTTTCAAGTATTTTTTAGAAACTATATTATTAAATTATTATTATTGTAGTACTATATAGTTATTAAAATTGTAGTTGATTGTTATCACAATATCTTTATTTCTTGTCTCAATAAATGTACGAAAAGAATTTATTCCAAGTGAAAAGCGGAAGATGCTCAAAAGACTTGTGAGAATACCTACAAAGAGCAAAGACATTAATTTACTTATTTAAACATAATTAAATGTGTCACATTCAATATGTCATGTGGTCCATCCGCAGGGACAATAAACTATTTTGTTGATTCGCTCGAAAACATGAACAATCATTTTCTTGCGTTTTGAACGAATTAACGAATTAAGTTTTAACGTATATTTGTCACATCTGACGCAACAATGTAGTACGTAAGCCAAAATGTCGTTAATTGTGACATATGTTAATATTTTGCAGACATAGATGTTGATCGCGGGAAATGTAAATACACGTTATTATTATTTATTCGCATATTTTAAAATGGATCGACAAAGGAAGGGGTCTGAATACAGCTTGTCAATTTTAATGCAACTTCTGAAATATGAATATAAACGTTTAAATATCATTAAAATTTCGTCTTTACACGAAAACTTCTATCTTTAATTTTTAAAAATAACGTTCGTTGAAGATTTATGCAAATTTGATCTATTATAATGCAAATCACATATTTTTCACGATTTACGCTTTAGTAAAACTTACGCCAAAGACTTTGAGGAATAATTCATCAAAACCTTTTTAAATATTTATGTGAGAGCTGAATTTTGAAGAGTCATAGTTTGAAATTTTATGTTAAAGTTGCATTAATGTAGAACGTACTAGATCCCTTTTCTTGTAGCATTTCTTTATTTTCTATAAACATTCCTTCCTTTTATTCCATTTTCCAAATATTCTCAAATATCATTGTCAATGATAACTAATATTTTAGCCCTACAAACAGAACTTAATAAAGGTGACCAATAAATAATTTTTCTTTCATAAGTGTGTCCTTTTCTTCACAGGTGAATCATTTTTCTTTATATAGGCACAATAAGTAACGAAAGATAAACAAGATGATTTAATAAGAATCTCTTTCTTCGAAGAGATAGTTCATCGCGAAAAGTGACACGTTACTTGCATACCATGAATGAAATCTCCGGTAGTTTAATATTTACGTTCAAACGTAACTTGCGAAGCGTATCACGAAGTAAACATTCTAGAAAAAATAAGTAATAACTGTGTTGTAATGTATTTAAGCGGAAACTCTGCAAAATTCATTGAAAACCAACGATTGATTTTTTCTTAAAAATAAGATTTTTTTTCAATGAAAAAAATCAAAAAACTCAAAGCTACATTCTTTGGTTTCATTATCTCATTACTTATTAAACTTTATTAACGTTTACGTATTGTGTAATTCGTAAAATTAATTCGTGAATTTCTTCTTCGACTCTTCCTATTTTAAGAAAGAGTTTTGACGTTTGGTCGTTAAAATTCTCAATATTGTTATAATAAGCGAAAACGTTTGGTTAATGGAATAATCACTTTTTACATAACATTAAATTATATGGAAATTAAGAAAATTGTTAACACTTTATTAACATTGTTAACTGCTATATATTTTCTCTTTTTTTGTTACTGAATTACTTAACTTTGTAAGTAACTCTACATCTTATTTCATTTTGTAGAAAAATGATATCTACGATATCTTCGTCACTCACGAACGAAATATTGTATTCTTTTATTTCTGACCGATTTTCAAAAAAAATTTTATATCATCTTTAGTATGGTTTTTTTGCAAATACGAGAGAACTCGAGCACAGATGAAAGCATCCTATTCAGAAAACGAGATATTCATATAATGGAAGTTCAATTTTTTATAATAATCAACTGAAACTAACTCTTCTGTTAGATTATTTTCTGTTAAAAATTTGCCAAAAACCATGTTCATTCATTCGAGTTATCCTCATTTGTAACTGAAAAGACCGACATTCTTTTCAGTTACAAACTCCAAGTCAAATCTGGCGAAATACGTGACAAATAACCAAGATTTCTGATGTAATTCGCTTCTTTCCGAGAATTTCGCACTCGACAGTGTGACAAATTTATCTAAAAGAATGGTCGTTCGAAAAAACGAAACAAGTTTCGATGCGTGAACAGATACGACGAAATTCAGAAGATTTTTGGAAACGCTACGTTTTTCCTCCATAACTGTTTTGTACTTGTTCGTTTGCGGATGAAAGAAAATTGGCTACACTTCACTGGGTCCCTTTCTGCTTTGCGTGAATTGTGTGAAACGTTGGTTAATCAACGATAATCAATGCAAAACTGTTGATTCCTCGTTCTGAATGCACTTGAAATTTTTTACTTATTTGACTTACTCTCTTTGTGGAACTCTACGTATGGTCAAATGATACGAATAAAATATTTCGTGTGAATTAATAAATATGTGGGAGGTCAAAGGAGACTTCCTTATTACAATATTATTAAAACATTGCTTCTTTTAAATAACCGTCACAATACCCGAGATTGACACCACGATCTTAGGGACTATTGATTAATTTCAGAGCCGCTTATAATTTTCAGAAAGTATATTTCAAGAAAAACCATCTGCGTTTTTTATTATGGTTTATTATCTAATTGAGCGCGAAGACTAAAAATTAGTCCAATAAAGCCTTATTTTTTTTTCTTTTGATTTTTTTAAAATACGTTTTCTTCGAAGCATACAGTGTCTAAAAAAAAGTATCGGCACGCCATTGTATCTATCGTAGTAATTGTACACTATTTAATTCATCATTTTCATGCAATTACAAAAATTTGATGTTACGAAAACGAAACGCAGAACCTATTAAAAAGAGGTATCATTGGAAGATAAGGCTAAATACTTTTTGCAGTCCATTGTAAATATTCGCAATTCAAGATCTACAAGATGGAATCGTATTCGAAAACCGAACTATCGAACGAGTTAGTTATCTCTTATATATTAATCTATAAAATATCAATCTCTTAATATCTACGTATCGTCGTTTAAAATTCTCGCGCGACGTACGCCCTCTTCCGATCGTAACTCTTCACAGCTTCTATCCGCTAGCAGTTATCCTAAATCTATATTCTTAAACGGTTATAATTGACGCGCGTAATCAAGAATTCCATTCGATGATCCGTTGCAAACAATCAAGGAGAAACGATCGATTTTATGAGCAAAGCAAATGTACAGCTGTTCTCCGTTGTCGTCAAGAGAAGCAGCATGAAAGAAAGAAAATTCGCTTCTTCGGGAAGATTTTCCTGGAATCTTGGAGTTCGTGGAATACAGTTCGGTTGACTATTGCATCGATGTCGAAGAATCAGCAGCACAGTCATCGTGAATGCAAATTCATTGGTTACATCCCGTAGCTGGTTTCTCGACCGATCGCCGACATTCCACTTTCGTCAGGTTAAACGGAAAGCGACAAGCGAACATTCTTCTTCATCAAGCGATTTTTCTTCTTATCGTCGTTTGTTTCCTCCAGACTAGTCGGTTTTCCCTTTCCCATTTACCGTGCTCTCGTTCGCTGCTTTCTTCGCTGCTCGACTTTGCCTGGCCTCTGTCGATTTCGAATGCTTTTTGTCAGGTTTGTACGCGTTACTGTAGAAATCGGCGAACAAGAAATAGAAGAACATCGCGTTAGGAAGAATCAAGACCAGCGACCACTTCGGATAGTCGCAGTCGTAGATGAGTAATTGACAGCTATGCAGGAACGCCAAGCAGAACTGACCCTGTCCAATCAACGAGACACGTTCGAATTTATCTGTACGAGTGAGAGTTTTAAATGTAATTCAAAATTTGATAATGGTGCTCACCATTTGGAGAGTAGTGATGTATTTCTTCCACCACAGGTACTTCTGGTACTGAGGTAACAATGCTGCTAGCAAGTAGTACGTGTACATGATTATGTGTACGAAACTGTTGATGACACCTAAAGAAAAACAGGCATAGATAATCGTTGAACGAAGAATGAAAATGTAACTTAATATCAGAACTTTCGAAATTGTTGGCCGGAATGTTAAGATACACGATATTTCTTCTCGGAGTGGATCTCGGTCAAGCTTTCGCTTGACCGATTTTTGAGTTAATTAAAAATTTATATTATTTCATTCCAGGAAAAATCCAAAACCTAGTAAAAAACGAGCCAGAAACATCAATTATAGAGATATAATCAATTTGTAGAGGTATAAATAATTTATAATTACAGAAATTATTTGATCATTAGAGACAGTCTTATCAAAATATGTATACCGGCTTTCAATATCTAATGCTTTAATGACATAAGCTACCAGGGATCCAGCAGTTCAGTATTATTGAGCTCTAAAACCTGTAGTAATTAATGATGATCAATCATTAATCGCTGAAAATCGCATAATGCTACAATAACATTTAAAAAACGTGAACTTTACCTATAAACGTGCCATGTCCGCCCGGATAATATTTGGTGGCGCCCCATGAAACCATCGGCATCACGGTATGATGGTACAAGTGAAGGAACGTGATCTGTTTCTCTTTCTTCCTTAGAACGAAGAATATTGTGTCCAGAAGTTCCGACAGCTTCGCCAAGAAATAAATGTACACGCCTCTGGCGACCTACGATAATTCCTTCGAATTAGAAAAAAAAAAAAATGAAATCCTCAGTAA